GCATCAACGTGCCATTTCCAGAAAATGTTAAATTGATCATTGTTAATTGTATCATTGACGTGCCATCAAATAATTTTGACTTTCTGATTATTTGGAAAATAATAACAATAAATACTATCAAAACTCTCTATGAAGTAAAGTAAACAAAAGAGGTACATTTTGGATTGTTTTCATTACAGGCATAAATTAAATTAATGTAATATCAGTGTTATCTGTGTTGCTGCAGGTTAGGTGACAAATAATTTGTCAGGCTTGTACGATGTTACTTTTAGCAAAATGCATTCTGATCTGGATACATCTGTCAAACGGTTTCTAATAGAGTTTTTAATGTTATTTTTCTAAAATAAATGTAGCCTAAGTTACTCCTTGTTACATCAGCTACCTGACAAAAAAAGTCCCGTCAAAATCGGTCTAGCCATTTCAGAGATTAGCCAGAACAAACAGACCGATAGACAGACAAAAATTGTAAAAAAAATAATTTTGTTGTATGTACCGTATTTATATAAATAAAATTGGAGCGTCTGTTTATAATATTGAAATAACCGTTTTTTAATATATTCGTATGAATATAAATACATACACACAACAAAATAACATATTTGTCTGTCTGTTTGTTCCGGCTAATCTCCGAGACGGCTGGACCGATTTTGACGCGATTTCTTTTGGCAGGTAGCTGATGTAATAAGGAGTAACTTAGGCTACTTTTATTTTGGAAAAATTATTTTATTTTAGAAAAATAAAGTTAAATTCCACGCGGACGAAGTCGCGGGTATAGATAGTGTACACTATAACACATCGTTTGAACGCTCTAATCTCAGAAACTAACTGGTTTGAATTGAAAAATTCTTTTTGTGTTGCATAGTCCATTTCTCGAGGAAGGTTTTAAGTTATATAACATTACGCTACGACCAATAGGAGCGGAGCTGCAATGAAAAATGTTACAAAATGTACAAAATGCAACGCAGACGGAGTCGTGCGAATCAGCTAGTTACAATATAATGCTATCAAACATTGTAATATTATTGATCTTAAAAACTTGGCACAGCATAACTGCCCTAATTTTCCGTATACAATTTGAACCATGGATTAGGTCTGACTTTATTCCAAGTTTTAAAGCAAGTCGATAACCCCATTTGGCTGTTCCGTTTAAACTTCGCCAATTGGTCCCGACGCTGAAAAGCTCCAAATAAGGTTGTATTTGTTATGCAAATGTTATCTCGACTGTTCATTTCTCTAAATCTATACATATAAATTAAAATAAAATTGGAGTGCCTGTTTGTAATGTTGAAATAACCATTTTACTATATGCACATGAATATAAATACGGTACCAAAATAACATTAGGATCATTTAAAAGAGCAACACACAAGTTTCTTGCTCGTTCTTCTTGTGATGAGACAGCTTTCCGAACGAGTGGTAGATAAAAAACAAATTGTTATGACTATTCAAAAGTGCTTAAATTAAGTTTATTTGAATAAATGATTTTCTATTCTATTCTATTCTATTTATTTTTTACAATTTTCGTCTGTCTGTCTGTCTGTTTGTTCCAGCTAATCTCTGAAATCTGGAAACAGACAAAAATTGGCTATTCCATCCTTAATTTGACATCCATTGTGAAAGTTTACACAGTTCACTAATTAACAGTAAAGTTAAATAAACATAGTTATTAAAATCTTTAATTATTATAATACATAATACACAAATAGTAAATTTATTATAAAGGATTAACATTTAACCGCGTTATCTGCCATTTTCGTAGTTATCTCCGAATAAACTAGGGCAGACAATATTTTGTTGGCAATTACATATTATAAAAAGAATTATATATATTAAAACAAATACAGACAGTCAAGGTAATGAAACCTCCGGCTGTATCTAAATAGACTTCGTTCTCTCTGACTATCGACGCAATGCAATAACTACTAAATCTAAAAATGTTAAATTTATTATTTATGTTGGTAACTTACATATCAATCAAATTGTCTGTATGTATGTAGGTTTTTGTTACCGTGTTATTATATTATTGACGCCTAGGAACACAAATATAAATATCAAATTAACAAATATAAATACTGCATATGATATGCGTAAGCGATGTGATAGTGAAATTACAGAGAATTGCACCGGCTGTACAGATTTTAATAGGACTTTCACTCGCAGATGATATTAATAATAATAATAATCTCAGGACAATTCACACAGCGCCATCAAGACCAAAGTTAAGCTAGCTAAAGCTTGTGTTATGTGTCCTAGACAACAGATACAAATACATAGATAATTTTTTTTTCGTAAATACATACTTATTATACATAGAAAATACCCAGACCGATACAAACAATTATACTCTTGAATACAAATGTTTGTGCCGTGCGAGGAATCAAACCCGGGACCATCGGACGTAAAGCGGTGATAAAATTACTAAAAAATAAAAGTAGCCAAAGTTAAGTTAAAGGTAAGGAAGGTAAGTAAAGGCTACTTTTATTTTTTAGTAATTGTATTTTATTTAATTAAAAAGGGACTGAATTCCACGCGGACGAAGTCGCGGGTAATAGTAATAAAAATTACGACAATAGATAAAAACAGGGTACGAGAAGGGAGTATAATCCTAAGAACTATGATATTTTTCTGATATTTTTTGTATTTCGTATGATTTTCTTTTTGATACGGTCATAAATTTCGAATAAAATAAATAAATAAAGAAATGGAATACAATAGTAATCTTATATATAAAATTCTCGTGTCACAGTTTTCGTTCTCATACTCCTCCGAAACGGCTTGCCGATTCTCATGAAATTTTGTGAACGTATTGAGTGGGTCTGAGAATCGGCTAGATTTTTCATTCCCCTAAATGTTAGGGGTAGTCCACCCCTAAATTTATTTTTTATATTTTAGACAAAATTTTTAGTTTCTATTTTTTTATGATACAACATACAAAAATACATACAATCCTAAATTTTCACCCTTCTATCATCAACCCCTATTTTTTTATAGCGTTATTAATTTATATGGCAAAACGTTTGCCGGGACAGCTAGTAATAATATATTTATTGACTTGGTGTCAATAAATATATTATGTACGTAGTTACAGTTATTCTTATAAACTATTATATTTTTGTTAAATTCGATACATGTATGCAGAAGGACAGCATAGTCGATGGTATGTGAGTTCAAGCTATAAAAAAAAGTCATATCGATACTTAAAAATTGTTTATTAAATACATAAACATTATAATTTTTTATTACAACTATCACCCGTATTAATGTACTCACAATATTATTTTCAATTAATCATCTCCCACGCTTATATTTAAACTAGCTACTTGCCCCGGCTTCGCCCGGGTGTACATATAATTAAACATATAAACCTTCATCTTGAATCACTCTATCTATTAAAAAACTGCTTCAAATTCTGTTGCGAGGGGGAAGGGGATTGTTAGTAATGTGGATTGATAACCCCATTGCTAGCAATGTACCATGTCAGGTCGACCTCCACGCGGTTCCCCCTGGAAACCATCGTGTTAAATTCCTGGTGAATTTGCAATACGGGCTAACTGACCTGACCTCATGCTCATTTTATCATCCTCCACTGGTGCCCCGCCAGCGTAAACCGTTAGCGCGGGCGGGTGCACCATTCCATTATCAACCCTAAAAAAAAAATTCTGTTGCGTAGTTTTAAAGATTTAAGCATACATAGGGTCGGACAGACAGCGACAGCGACATCGTTTTATACTATGTAACGATACTCACATGCTATTACACTACTCTCTATATTTCAGATAAAAAAAAAAAATAGAAAAAGAAAGAAGGAAAGAAAAAAATATATTACAATAAAAACAACTATATCTAGTATATATACTATAGCGAGTATTGTAACTCGCTATTTTTTGATTGATAAAACCGACTATGTCTTGATATTTTGGTTATTTCGATAAAAATATTCCACGCTAACTAAGTCGACGGGTAACAGAAATATAAAACTTTTGGTTTTAATAACGTAAAACAACTAGTAAGACGTAGTTTATATAATTTCTTTTCAAAAATTTTGGCCTAATATTTATTCATAATTATTTAATTTAATAAAATAAGTAAAACATCGTATACTATAATAATATCAGGTCACCAAATATTTATAAACTCACAACCTATAAATTTATCGACGCAATCTAATAATGGCGTGAAATCAGAATAGACTTTTAACCATTTTGATATAGTTCATTTCAAGAATGATAATATTAACTTATTAGTTACTAATAGTCCAATCAGTGTTCCACAGGAAAGCTTATATGCAACTCATCACGTTCACCAACATTGTGATGAATATTGTGACAAAGATATTATCTAAGCGTTTATGACTGACGTGCACTCATTGAAAGGTCGTTCTGTTCGTATCTGAATTTATTTAAATGAATAACAACAATAACAATAAACTCAGGACAATTCACACAGCGCCATCTAGACCCAAGTTAAGCTAGCTAGACCTTGTGTTATGGGTACTAGATAACTGATACAAATACATAGATATTTTTTTTGTAAATACATACATATTATATATAGAAAACACCCAGACCGATACAAACAATCATACTCATGAATACAAAATGTTTGTGCCGTGCGAGGAATCGAACCCGCGACCATCGGTCGTAAAGCGGTGTGCTTGACCGCTAGACCACCGAGGTTGTCAATTTAAATGAATATTGGGACCCTAACGGCTTCTGCAGTTTATTTATTAACACCATATCGCTACTATATGAAAATGTCTAAAAGAATTGTAATTAAAAAGAATTGGAAAACGAAGAAGGTTGTTGACAAAATAGCCAATCGTGAAGTATCGCCTGGCTAAGAACAAGAGCCTCAAAGAAATATGTAATTAAATAAAATGAAACAATGAGAACGTAGTGGATGTTGACAAAAAAGACCATCGTGAGGAACCGCTTCACTTAGAACAAGAACCACCTTTCAATCCTGATAAAAATAGCAACTCTTTTACATTTAACATATTTTGACTAATATATATATATAAAGCTACGTAACACTTATTGATATTGTGAACACAAATATTTCTTTATTCTGTCGTTCGGAAATAATGAGCCAATGACGCAATACGTAAAACCGTGAAGACATTAGGTACGCTCCATTACTAGCGAAGTCATGTGTATAAGGATTAGTAAAAAAAATACCGTCGATTTGAGACCCTCCGCTTCGAAAATCAATTTAAACTATAGATAAATATTAGAATCTAGTCCCTGTGATGGAATACCCAGTCATTTTAGAACAGAGGCTAGCATTCATCTAAATGGTCTGCCAGTTTCTTGCCCTTAGTTTCCGGAAGACATAAACATGCTAGTACTGCTAGAAGGGGGACGAGGCTGAAGATGGTCGGTGGAAGCCAGAGGGCTCCTTTGTAACCAGCAATGAATGGTGCTATCATAGATCCCAGTCTGGAACACGTGGAAGATGCACCAATAGCCATGTTCCGCGCCACAGTTGGAAATAATTCCGATGTAAATATATACCTGAAAACAAGAGCAATGAATGTTATCTGTAATATAGTACTTATGCAATATGATAATAATAACAAGAAGACTCTGTATAAACAACAGTTCACTGTACAACTGATTATAACTAAACAAATAAATATTCATTCTTTTGTTCATAGTGTTCTACATTTGAAAATGTGTAATTGAGAAGATGTTATAAATGAACAAACTTATAAAAGCAATTTAATTCAACGATCATTAAATAATATCAACAGCCAACTCTTGACATTTCCATATTTTTCGCTGGGTATGTTTATAATTCAACTTAGCAAGAAGCGAACTTACTACCGGTTCTGGCTTTTAATTTGTTACCGTTTAGTCTCCATTATTGGTTTTTCTTTAATTTACCTTCGCTTTGATTATATATACTTACATAGTACTAAAAGCACCAGCGGCGCAGGCGGCAGCTATAGCACCAGAGACTAGTTTCACGTAATGCCAGCTCTCAGGCAATGCGAGTATGGCGTTACTGATAGCGCAAATGGTGAAGAAGGCGATTGAGGTATTGCGTCTTCCGAATTTCTTATAAAAATAACCACTGAATGCTATTCCTGGGACCTGCAACACCAAATAAATAAATAACCATGGACAATTAACACAGCGCCATCTAGTAGCACGGTACGCAGAGCTTGTGTTATGGAACAACTAATATAAATACTTATATATTTTTGTAAACATAATTTATAAATACATGGAAAACACCCAGCCAAAATATAGATACAAACAATCATACTCATTAATACAAAATGTTTGTTCCGCGCGGAGAATCGAACCCTCGACCATCGGAAGTAATGCAGTGTGTTATACCTCTAGACTACAGAGGTCAATATTATAAATTAATATAATAAGTTAATAAATAAACATTAACATAATTTTATGAACCGACTGTTGAATTCGTAAATAATTATAGAACACAAGATGAATGATAATGATTAGGGAAAACCAGGCCAGGCTAACATTATACAGATTTAGAAAAAAAGTATAACTCGAGTCAAAAGATGTAAAAGGGTATAAATATAGTATAATGAAGGAATGAAGAAGTCAAAGCAAGAGCTCTACTGAAAGAGGCAGCAGAGCAGAGTAAATAAATAAAATTTAAGAAAAACAAATGAGATTTATCTTTATGTCTATGTTATTATGTTTTGATCAGGTGCTAGAAAGTTTGTTTATTATATACATTAGAAGCCCTTACCTGGAATGCCGCTGCGAGAACTACACTAAGAAATGGATCAGAACTGGTCTGTCCTACATACTGAGTGCCGCCGTAGAAGCTCACTCCCAAGATGAACCAGGCAACACAGGAGTAAATGTTCTTCATCCTCAATGATGGCAGCCTAACCAAATCCCAATAAGATGCTTTCTCCTCTTCCCTTCTAGCTCGATCCACATTACATTCATGGTTTATAGAATCAACTACGTTTCTCATGCCTTCCGTTGGTAATTTATTTCTGAAAGCAAAAACAGTCATAATTCAGTTTGTTTTAGGAAGTTTGTTGTAACAAATTAATTTTAGAAGTGCTTATGTTCTCTAAGAGGACTGCGGGCTCATGTCATTGTTAGAGACACCATCTACAGGGTGGGCCAATGCCGCTGGACTCGCGGTAGAATGCTTATGTGACCTCGTGACTCCAGCAATAGCGCTCGTAGGTACCCAGTATGTTTTTTTTGAAATTTATTATTTTTGAAAGTAACAATTACACACACCCCCTCGTCATCTCTCTGCCTAGCGGTATTTTGAAAATGTTTCCATATGGTAAAAAAAAAGGTTCTCCCACTAGCACTTTGTATTTGATTATACTCGACTGAGTAACGCAAGACTAAATAATTGGCTAATTTATTTAGTGTTGCCTTAACCATCGACAATTCACAATATAGTATCACATCTATATACATAATATCTGTTAAGAATTACCTTGCAGCAGCTTTTATCATCGTTTCACTTGCTTCATCGTATCTTCCTACAGATATCAACCATTTGGGTGATTCTGGCATCAAAAATATATACGTTAAGAATATACAATGGGGTATAGCCAATCCAATACTGTATATATTCCACCTCCTCAAATAGTACGCAAAAAGTGGCATTAGCATTTCTCCAATCGATAACGGTATGTGGTAGAGGGAGGCCACCAGCTCCCTCTTACTGGGTCCAACTATCTCGACTACAATCACGAAGGATATGACCAGAATGCCTGCTGTGGCGGTGCCCAGGATGAATCTGATGGCAGTGAAGGTCCAATAGTTGGGGCAGAACGGTACAGCAGCGCTACAGCATAATTGTAGAAGACCAGCAATGGTTATGCCTGGACGTCGGCCATATCTAGAAAGAGGAAATGGAAATGATTTTTTTTTTATTAATCTCTAAGTTCAAAATATCTCATCATGGGAGATATCATCGTCATCTGCTTCTTCCTTATCCTATTTATTTGGGGTCGGCGTAATTTGTTTTTCTCTTCCATTCATCCCTAATCGCAGTCAGATATATTCTTCTAAAAAAACTGTAACATTTATGAGACCCCTCTAGTGTGACGTCATACAATTTGCAAATATACATTATTAAATTAAAACTGTGTATTCTAAACTGTATATTATGTAACGTGGTGATTATGAAATGTGTCATCATGAAATTTCGAACCTTCCTTCCTTGTTCGAAACAACATTTATTTAAAAGAGCAACACACAAGTTTCTTGCTCATTCTTCTAGTGAAGAGTCTGCAGTCCGAATGAGTGGTAGACTAAAAAAAGTGACAATTTAAAAGTGCTTATATTAAGTTTATTTGAATAAAGATTATTTCATATTTAATTTTATTTCCCACCCCTTGACACACTATGTCATACTTTCTCGACCCCCTCTCGCCCTTGAAGTGTGACTTAGTTTATAGACACCCTCTTATGATACAAACTGTTGAACTTACAACCCATACAGACAAATCGGTAGGTATTTCTAATAATCTAATACAAACAAAGTAAACATGGTAACAACAGCTGTTTATTTCTTATGCACATGACTATCTTATTACAAATTGCACACACAAGGGGGTGACCCTTGTCACACTCACACTTTGTCGACCCCTCTCCCCCTTGAGGTGTGACTTAGTTTATAGATACCCCTTGTGATACTTGTGTTGAACTAACAACCCATACAGACAAATCGGTAGATATTTCTAATAATCTAATACAAACAAAGTAAACATGGTAGCAACAGTTGTTTATTTCTTATGCACATGACTATCTTATTACAAATTGCACACACAAGGGGGTGGCCCTTGTCACACTCACACTTTGTCGACCCCTCTTCCCCTTTGAAGTGTGACTTAGTTTATAGATACCCCTTGTGATACTTGTGTTGAACTAACAACCCATACATTCCCACCCTCTTGTCACACTATGTCACACTTTTCAACCCCCTCTTTCCTCCATAAAGCGTGACTGAGTTTATAGACTGTTGAACTAACAACCCATACAGACAAATTGGTAGATATTTCTAATAATCTAATACAAACAATGTAAATATGATAGCAACAGTTGTTTATTTCTTATGCGCATGACTATCTTATCATCTTACAAATTGCACACATTATACCAGTGAGAGCACGTGTCACGGCTACAAAAATTGTTTTCTACACTTTAACGAGTTACGGTTCTCGTGGGGTTATCTGTAAATCGCCCACCAGATGGTTATGTCGAATATATTGTATGAAGGTGATGATCGGTGATAACATCTACAGATACATATATATCTAATAATATTATATAATATAATCTTATATATAAAATTTTCATGTCACAATGTTAGGTATTGTACTCCTCCGAAACGATTTTTATCAACTTTTGTATGCATGTTCAGTACGTCTGAGAATTGGCTACTATCTTATTCACACCCCTACCCCTAAGTGATAAGGGTTGTCCACTCATTACATTATTTTTATTTTTTTTATAATGTGGCATTAAAAAATACATACAAACCTATATTTTCACCCTTCTCACCGTATTTTTTAATGACATATAATAAAAAAATATAAATAAACAATTGCCCTAAATATAAAAAAATAATGTTAGGGGAGGACAACCCATATCACTTAGGGGTATAAAAAATAGATAGTAGCCGCAGACCTACTGAATATGCATATAAAATTTTATAAAAATCCGTCGAGCCGTTTCAGAGGAGTATGGTAACTAACATTGTGACACGATAATTTTATATATAAGATTATGTATTTACAAAAAAATTATACATTTTTTTGTGTATATGTAATATACATAGAAAATATCCATACCCATATAAAAAAGCTTACTTAAGCTTAGCTTAGCTTAGAACTGACACTGTGTAAATTTTATATATATATATGTATATATATATATATATTTGGTCTACGATGTAACAATTACATTTATATTTACAATTAGTGCGTATAGCCTATCACTGGGATAAGGGAGAGGTCGATACGCTCACAATGGAAAATTTTAAACAATAGATAGTAATCGCACATTAATTTATTGAACAACTAAAGTGTATCATATAGTGAGATAATTTTAATTGGCCCGTATGTTATCGCACTACTGGTATACAAGGGTACCAGTGTAAACAGGTTACAACAGACAAGACTAGGTGTCTTCATTATACTCTAGACGATTATTTGTATCATAAATATATCTTTACATAGTATAAAATGGAGTCGCTTCCGGTGTCTGTTCGTTTAGGTCAGAGGTTCCCAAACTTTTTCGTGTCGTATTTTCGGTTTTGGGTAGACCCCCCATTCTTACCTGGTATTGATTTTTTGTAATTTTCTTTTTTTGTAAGTTTAGTGTTAAAAACATAAATAAAACAACACGATTACCTCTATCGTATACCCCTTGCAGTTTGTCATAGACCCCTAGGGGTCGATATAGACTTTAGGAGTTAGATCTTTAAAACTACGCGACGGATTCTAATGGAAGTTTTAGCAATAGAGTGATTCAAGAGGTAGATTTATATGTAAAATACAAATATATTTATAAACTTTTCAAAAACGAATTACAAATTACGAATTTGTAATTAGTTTATAGAAAAATGTTTTATTATTATTAAGAAAAACTTTTCATAAATAAGAAATATAATTGATTTATAGAAAGAAAAAAATTAGTACTAAGGAATCTCATGACATTTAAAATATTTTTTTGTTGACATATTTTAATATTAGCTGTGCCCTTCGTTCGCGTGGAATAGTGAACTTGGTTATCATAAAATATTTAATAATCTAATTCAATAAAGGCAAATAGAAATAGAAATAATAGAAATAGAAATAATCTTTATTCAAATAAACTCATTACAAGCACTTTGAATAGTCATATTTTGATTCTACCACTCATTCGGAATGCAGATTCATCACAAGAAGAATGAGCAAGAAACTTGTGTGTTGCTCTTTTTAATAGATGTTTTTTTTTTATATAAATAATTACAGTGTAACAAGTAAGAGGCATGCGATAATCAACATAGAAATCGCTACGCACTCATTATTAGTGTAATCAGATAATATTGTCAGTGCTATGTATTTAAAATTTTTCTACAAAAACATTATTATCGTTAACGAATTCTTCAATTTTTTTGCAAAGAGAAATGTTTCATCGTTTTAGCTTGAAAAATGACGAATTTCTATACAAACTTTCATGTCTTATTTTATTACCATGGGCCAAATTCTTTAAAAACGAAATAATTTGCTACAGACCTCGCTATGGCGTCTAGCATTGAATCCATTCAATTGTTTTTACTTGAAAAATTAACAATCATACATTCATCTGACGGTCTTAAAACACAAGCTTTCGCGTTACTTATATTAGCGGGATAAACATACAAAATGTTTTGTTAGAAATAGAAACAATAATTTTTCAAATAAACTCAATACAAGTACTTTTGAATTGTCATATTTAATGGGAACGTAGACTCATCACAAGAAAAATAACAAACTTTTGAATAAAATATTTAAAATAAATAATTACAAACTCGATAATCAATTTTATAATAAGTGCAATCAGATAATTTTCAAATGAATTTTAAGCGTTTTATACAAACTCTTCAATTTTATAATAAGAATTTTTCAAAAGAAAGCGTTTTATACGACATTTAAATCGTTTATCGGGCAGATTTACAATTGTTTGTTGTAAAACTTTACGCAAATACCATAAAACGAATTACTTAGATCAGGGTTTCCCAAACTGTGCCCCATGGCTTCACGGCGATGTCTCAAGGGCGTCGCGTCTCGATGTGATATTGCGACTGAGTCCAGAGAGCGCCGGGCACATTAACAGAAAAATATTATTTGAACAATAGTGTATTTCTGGTAAACCTATTACTAGACTAGTACTAAAATTGGTCGCAATCGCAAAAAAATAGAAAATCATTTATTCAAATAAAGATTTCCAATACGAAACATGCGAATACAAACCACCAACTAGCACTGATTTATTAGCTTCAGATATTAAGTACACAATATGATTGAAACAGTCGTAGTGATAAGAGCAGGCCAGTCCCTACAAGCAGCACTCGTTCACGAGTATGACGGATTAGCCAGCCATCACTGCGCTCGACCATATTTTAGGGAAAAGTCCCAAGGGCTTCTTTTTCGGACTAATCTAATGCTGTTGGCCGCAGCTGGCCTTTACAGCTTCACCGGACGTTAGGGGGCGAGTGCAGATGGCACTCCAAATCCGCGGAAGGACTTATGGAGCGGCTGCAGGCCAACTCCTGCCTGACGGATACGACTTTAGTCTGAAGTCACCACTAGGGGTTCGAACCTCGGCTCAGGCCGTCGTAATTTCGATCCCCGTTTGAATTGGACGGGGGTGTCACAAGGGCGTCACAATGCGATTAAGTTTGGGAAGCCCTGACTTAGATGATAATCTGTAGCTAAAAATAATAATACACATACATTCATACTGAAGGACTGTATTAAGGCTGGTTTAAAATGAGACAGGTTCCTAGGTGAGGTAAAATAAGTGTAATCAGCTCGCTAGCAAAAATGTAAAGAAAATCAATATGGCATAAGAAAACAAAAGGTATACAAAAACAGAACGTCAAAATATAAAATTCAAATAGATATAAAAAACATCAAAACTATCGAAAAGGTTGCCATCGGCAACATACAATACAAATACGAAATTGATTGTTGATCTTCCATTTGGTGGTATTGCGTCAAACTAAGACGAATCGTGGACAATATCGTTTAAGATTTTACGTATGCATCTAAATTTGAGAAAAATACGATCCGAGTAATGTAAATTATAATGACAATGCATTGGTTTAGTATATCGCTATTGTTTCCAATTTCATACAGCGTAAATAATGTGTGAAACAATTACTAATGGTTTGGCAAACCTTGGTAGTGCGACGGTTTAAAATCATAAGCGATAATAGCAGATTCGATCCTTACATAATAGAAATATTTGTACGCGTCAGTATGATGTCAATATTTACATTTTTTTTAATAGTATATTAATCTCGTGGTATGTAAGTATAAATTTCGTATATTTATTTTTACTGTATAAATGAATATAATAATAATAATAATCTATGACCAATTTTCACGTTAGTAGTTATTCACTCCCAAACTAAGCAGATTACTAAAGCTACTAAACAACTTATAGAAAATATTCATTTATTGAAAATACATACGAGCACAATCATACTCATGAATACAAATATTTTTATAGTGCAAGGAATTGAACCGACGATCGTTGGAAGTAATACGGTATACACTATTCGAAATCCGGTTTCGATTATAAATTCTATAATGATATATTAACTAATTGCAGTAAATGGCGTGATGACTGTACAGGAATGGAAGAAAAAATGACGCCGACCCAAAATGCATAATGTGATAATGGAGAAGTAGATGATGATGACATTAATTGTAATATGTTCTAGAAGATAGGTAAAAAATACACAAAACTTGACTTACATAAGCGACTAAAGTTTACTAAATGTATAAATTATTGTTTATTTAAGAAAAAATTAAAATATCAAAAAGTTTTGGTTGCAGAAAGTACAAGTAGAAAGTACAAAGTACATGTAGAAATAATGTATAAAACCTTTGAGGCGGTTAATAAAAAAATGAACACTTACCGATCCGCAATAAATCCAAACACTATACTACCAACTAGTACACCAAACATATACATGGTCTGTGTAAAATTTGCGAGCCAAGCCTTCTCGCAAATTAAGCCCCACTCGGAGATAATACTGCTCTCAAATATTGAGAAATATTCATATTCCACGCAATCCTCATAGCATGTAGAATTCTGGATGTCAGCTGTAGTGTTCCCTCGGTCTACACACACGAAGGTGGTCTTCGGCGCCAAATATATGATGCTTAACTGGGCCCATATACCTGATATCTTCGACGGCACCGTCGCTAACAAAAATATAAGAATTTGCCACGTCCCAAAACTCCCAATAGCTTTAGCTAGTTTATCTCCCTGATCGGCTTTCTCTTCAGGCTTATCGACGTTGTTCTCATGTTTTGTAGCATCAAATCTATTGCTGATTGTATACACTTTTATATTGTCGTCTCTGTTATTCATTTTAGGTGTCGCAATAAGCGTCTCGTTTACAGTAATGGTCGTATTAAAATAATACGAACAGACACCAAGTATACAGTTTTATCGCTACTGATAATACTGGAACGTGCTGTGAATGAAGTTTATACATATATTATATTGTATGTCGCTATGTTAATTATAGTTATTTAAATTGTATGTTTATTAGTTTTAGGTAAGGTCGTAGTGTAGTTGTAAGTTGAGTTCAGTTTGAGACTGAAAAGGTTGTGAGTTCGAATGTGACCAAAATTTGTTGTCAATTTATATATCGGACTGATCGTCTGGTGATGGGAACACTAATTTAATCCAAGAGATTCAAAGATGTCAAAGACAATTTACCATTTGCCGTGAAGACGGTGGACCCATAGAGCCCAGAAACCAACTAGTTTTTGACGTGTATTTTAACGCGTCTCATCGAGGTTACTAGTGACCCGAGGGCTGGTAGCTACTTTGCCCAGAAGGTAAGTATGGATATTTAAAGAGGTAACGCTGCCAGTATCTTGGGTAAGCTGCCTCGATGTGCCGTGTTGGATTACAATGATATTTTTTGTGTGAATGAATGAAATTGTTGTGACTTATACCTATAAAAAAAATTGGGCATAATATAGAGTATTGCGTTCACTATGACGTTTACAATGCCTCTGACTATACCATCTGGAGTAATAGTTCTGAATATATATTTTCTATATAAATATATCTGATGGCCTCAGTGATTTAGCGGTATAGCAAACAGCTTTAATTCATGTGTTGCGGTTCGGATCCATGTACGGTACAAAGATTTATATTCATGAGTATGATTGTCTTTATCAGGCTGGGTGTTTTCTATGTATTTACAAAAAATATATAAAGTACTAGCTGTCCCGTCAAACGTTGTTTTGCCATATAAATTAATAACGCTATAAAAAAATAGGGGTTGATGATAGAATGGTGAAAATTTAGGATTGTATGTATTTTTGTATGTTGTGTCATAAAAAAATAGAAACTAAAAATTTTGTCTAAAAAATAAAAAATAAAAATTTAGGGTGGACTACCCCTAATATTTAGGGGGATGAAAAATAGATGTTGGCCGATTCTCAGACCTACACAATACGCTCACAAAATTTCATGAGACTCGGTCAAGCCGTTTCGGATGAGTATGGGAACGAAAACTGTGACACGAAGAATTTTATATATAAGATTATATTACTTGTCTAGTGACCATAACACGACTTACCTTGGAACTAGATGGCGTTGTGTTACTTGTTCAAGTGTACGATTAGTATTATATAAAAATATATTTTCATATGTTTTAAAACATACCTATTGGTGCACGTTATAAACGTGTGTATCAGAACACATTCCTTTACGAAATGCTTTATAGACAATTGTTATTTATAATCTTTTGTAGTCGTTTGTATTATGGACAAATATATGTACATTTCGTGTCTGTGAATTTGTATGGCAACGTTTATTTCGCTGTTATAATAGATCGCTTAGTATGGCGACAGTAAATGGCATGAAGTGACGGCAAACACGAAGGTTCTATTTTACGTGTATTTTTTCTTATGGTATCTATTTCATGTTTGAGTCTATGGTAATAGTAATGCATAAGTGCCAGAGGGTGGCACCATTGAATTCTTGTTCTCTCTGGTTTCTACGATTTTGTCTAACATACTTTGGTCAGTGTATTTAAATTCTTGAGTGATTTAAATATAATAACTTTGGTCCAGCAAAGATGTTTTTATCATCAACAATATTCACCTGGAAACTATCAAAGTAAATTCCTTGTTAGTTCTCCATGATGATCTGGCTTCGCATTTATCTTATCATGCTCGACTGATGCCCCACCAACCTAAATCATTAGGCTGGTGGGGCACCAGTCGAGCTTTACCCCCACTTTGTATTTTTTTTTAATTGATGATAATGGAATGGTGCCTGCGCTGACGGTTTACGCTGGCGGAGCATCAGTGGAGGATGATAAGATGAATAAGAGGTTAGGTATGTCGTTAGCTCATTGTGGTAAATTCTCCATGAACTTATCTCAATGGTTTCCGGGGGGAGCCACGTGGAGGTCAACCAGACTTTAGTAGCAATGGGTTCAACCAGGGACCAGTGTCAAAATTTGACCCATTATATGTTGTCCCGTCTTGACTAATTTTTTTTCACACAACGCCATCTAGTCCCGCTGTAAGCAAAGCTTGTCTTAAGAGTACTAAACAACTCATATAAATACATATATATTTTTTTTTAAATACATACATAACATAGAAAATACCCAAACAAATATAATCAATCATGAATACAAATTTTTCCACCGTGCGAGGAATCGAACCTGCAACCATCGGAAGTAAGGCGGTGTGCTAAACCGCTAAACCACCGAGGTCGTCAACGCAATGCAGGAAATGTTCCCCCCATAATATAGGTTTAAGTATGTCAGGTAAGTGGGGCATTGGATAGACGCCAAAAGGCCTCGGAAACAGGGTGCCAAGTACTCTCTTAGTGCTCCATTGTTGCGCCCTTAGTAATGGATCTATTTATTTATTTATCCATCTAAAACAATATAAATTGTGCAGGATAACATATTCGTTGGTTTAACACAGCCTTCCTTCCGATAGTCGCGTGTTCGATTCCTCGCACGGCACAAACTTTTATATCATTACATAGTATAAAATAAAGTCGCTGTCGCTGTCTGTCCCTATGTATGATTAAATCTTTAAAACTACGCAACGGATTTTGAAGCGCTTTTTTTAATAGATAGAGTAATTCAAGAGGAAGCTGTTTTGATGGTCTAGTACCATCGAAACAGTCTATTTATTATTATATTATTCATATCAGTCAGTCAATTCGAAACCGTATATATCTCAGTCAGGATCTTTTCTTGGTATTCAAAACCCGCCCCAAACCATTACATAATCCACTGAATGAACGATGATTCATGAATATTTAATACCATTCTACCAAAAGTTACCAAACAAATGGTAATAATACGAAAGGATCAAAAGCCACGCTATTAAGATAATTAAGAATTTTTCCTCCGACATACAAAAGGGAATATAAATTAGCGGATTGTAATACCAATATTGCCTCGGATTATTCATAATTTATTCATATTTCTTTATAATTTTACATTTCTTTTTGAAATGTATTAATAAATATATAATATGTATAAATACGTAAAATATAAGTATTTATCTATATATATATATATTAAATTGGAGTTTGTATTGTTTTTGTTATTGTTTGTAATTGTAATATTGAAATAACCGTTTTTTACTACATGCATATGAATATAAATACGGTACATACACCAAAATAACACTTTATTACAATTTTTCTCTGTCTATGTCTGAACCGATTTTGACGGGTATTTCTTTGGCACGTAGCTGCTGTAATAAGGAATAACTTAGGCTACTTTTATTTTAGAAAAATAAAGTTATATTCCACGCGGACGAAGTTGCGGGAACAGCTAGTTTAACATTTAAAATCGACTTTTTCCAAATTAGTATAGAAATAACATGAGAAAAAAATTACAAACGCATACTGAACACATAAGCACTGAAAACATTCAGTGCAGAATTATTATTATTATTTCCTGACAGTTCGTATTGTCCACAGAGCATCCTGGGAGATTTCAACCGTGAGCAGGACGCCTTTATCAAGGGCCAGGAGGGGCGCGGAGGGTCGGCCGCCGTGGCGCCCTGGATCGGGGCTCCCAATGAGGCGGCCCTCAAAGACGAGTGCCTGTCACTTTCCACTGTAAGTACCTAACCATATACTACTTCTCTCCAGAGGAACACATTAAGCAATTAAAACTTTGGCCGTATCAAATCTCGGCTGAAGTACTAGTTAATATCATAATTCAAATAATGTGATAATGAACACAATAGGGAAACAAATAAAATTATTAAAATAAAAAAAAACTATTATACCACACTGTTTTTTTTTAAATTGGAATGGCAAACATCAAATCAAAAAATTATATTTATATATAATGTTTTTTTCCCTACCGTCCAGTTCAGTATACAGATTCAATTGAAAGAAAGAAAGAAAGAAAAATATTTTATTCAGTGCAATGTAAAAAATAGAATATAAACAACAAATAAAAAAAATTGTGAAGAACTGGCAAGAAACTCGACTGATTTTTTTTTTATGTCAGTTTATATACATTGTGTATTTATGTAGGTGTCTATGTCTAACATTAAATGAAAATCCCGTGCATGGACTACTATTGCCATGAACGTTTGTTACATGCATAGTGGTAAGTGGTAACAGTCGTCTATATAAATGAGTAGCACTACGTACATCATGTCCCCTCCGATCCCCCATTCAGTTCAAACGGGGATCGAAATTACGGCCTGAGCCGAGGTTCGAACCCCTAGCGGTGCCCTCAGGATAAAGTCGTATCCGTCAAGCTTGAGTTGGCCTTCAGCCGCTCCATAAGTCCTTCCGAGGGTTTGGAGTGCCATCTGCACTCGTCCCATATCGTCCGGTGAAGCTGTAAAGGTTAACAGTATTAGAGTAGTTCGAAAAAATCAAATTGTTCATACTGTTCGGACTACTCTAATGCTGTTGACCGCAGCTGGCCTTTACAGCTTCACCGGACGATAGGGGGCGAGTGCAGATGGCACTCCACACCGCCAAATAAAAAAAGGACATCACGTTATCATTTGACGCCAGAATATCAAAACGTGAGTGGTGTACTCACGTTTTGCTATTCTGGGGGACTATAAAGTCATGAGTCTTATCCAGTAATTTTACTCCCAAATCTCACTCTTCAACAGAAACAATTTATAAAACAAACTCCTTGATTGCTGAAATAGTGAACACTGAATTACTAATAAATAAATGACTAGATTAGGAAAACGACTACGTAACGTAACGTAAGTTCGTACGTACGTTACGTTACGTAGTCGTTTCCGTCGTGTGTGGATAAGAAAGTCATTTTATTTGCTTATAAAATGACTTTCATATCTGCTATTAGTAGACGACTACTAATAGCAGATAAGAAAGTCATTTTATAAGCAAATAAAATGACTTTCTTATCCACACAGAGACAGATTTAATAATAATAATAATAATAATCTCAGGACAATTCACACAACGCCAACTAGACCCAAGTTAAGCTAGCTAAAGCTTGTGTTATGAGTACTTGATAACTGATACATATACATAGATATTTTTTTTGTAAATACATACATAGAAAACACCCAGACCGATACAAACAATCATACTCATGAATACAAATGTTTGTGCCGTGCGAGGAATCGAATCTGCGACCGTCGGTCGCAAAGCGCTGTGCTAGACCCCTAGACCACCGAGGTCGTCAATTGAGATTTGTATTATCTTTTCTGGTTAAGTTGTTTTGCCATATAAAAACCAAATGGTGGAAGGGTAAAAGTTTAGGGTTGTACATAAATAAAATGAAGAAATTAATAATATTTGCTCAAACATTAAAAAAGACATTTTTGGGCTGAACTACCTTTATCTCTTAGGTGTAGGAAAAATAGTTTCATCTTATTTGTAGTACACATAACACGAGCTCTCCTTAGCTTGGGACTAGATAGCGTTGTGTAAATTGTCCCGAGATACTATTTTTGTTATTATTAATGAAATAGTCCTTAATTCATCTTAAAATTGTTCCACCAAATGGCGCGTGGCCTGCCTCTACCTCTGGTCGAGTTTGGTATCTTGAGCATACTTTGGTTTTTGAGACGACTGTCCTCGCGTCTTTGGAACATGGTTAAAAAGTGAATTAAAAAAGATATGGCCATAACAACGTAAGCGACTTTCTCTTAATGTACTCGACATTAGAAGTTCCTTCAGAGTAGTTCCTATCGTAGAAAAAGTGATAGAAGTGCATTTTACTTTATTATTATCATTTATTATTGGCTTTTTTATTATTATTATTTATTTGTTTGTTACTATGTTGTTCTTTTATTTATTTTTTTTGTATATAATGATTTCATCTCTAATTTAATGAATTGTTTTTTATTTACGTTTATCTTATATAATAATTTATATGCAGCTATCGGCATCGTTTTTATTGTGTTGTGATGTGTGATGTAATAAATGTTATTCTATTCTGTTCTATTCTAAGTGAAATGGGTGTACCCGACTTTATCCAAGCATGCCACACCACTTATTAATACATAAGTTATTTTTATATAAGGAAGTGAAATATTCCTAGCATATCTGAGTTCAATGGTTCAAGACATATGCAGATAATACGCGGTCATACAGAAACCGGGCCGGGAGTGTTCAAGAAGAGTTGAGATTTAAAAACATATTTTTTTTATTTATTAATATTTTACGGCTCTGGATACAGGTCCTTCTTAGCCCAACTTTAAAAACATATGTAGCTATATTTATATAATTACCGGGTCTTAACACGAATAATTTTATGGCAAATAAAGATTTACTCGACGAAGCGTCGAGAGAGGCTGTATATTTTGGGGTAGGTGATCAAATTTGATTCGATTTGACTTTCTCGGTTGTATATTTTTAGTACATCGCTTTACTTCGGATGGTAACGGATTTGACTCCTCGCATAGTGCAATTATTTGTATTCATCAGTATGATTGTTTGTATCTGTTCTGGAATTTTCAAAAATGTTAGCAAACATGGCAGACTCAACAATTTTTTTTTTCTTTTTTGGCCAATGACCACTAAAATTGGTACAAAAAGTGGACTTAATATGATTTTTCATTCTCTCCCAGTCAAGCTTTGGGATGTGTAGAGATATATGAATGCGATATTATGATAATTAAAATTAAAATAGAATTATAATAAAAAAATACACATAAATACATACATTAATAGAATTGATCTACTTTTTAATATAATAAATACACTAATTACATACACTTACATTCAGTGCGGAGGTAATGGAGTCTTTTCTGGTGATGGAACCACAAGGTCAATCTGTCGTTATTAGCACCACTCCCATAATGCGCCATGACTAGGTAGAAGAAAAGCCGATCGATAAACTGCCTGATGAAGCCTCGTTTATGGAAACTTGGAGTAATCATAATAAATAATAATCTCAGGACAATTTACACAGCGCCATCTAGACCCAAGTTAAGCTAGCTAACGCTTGTGTTATGGATACTAGATATCTGATACAAATTATATTATACATAGAAAAGACCCAGACCGATACAAACAATCATACTCATGAATACAAATGTTTGTGCCGTGCGAGGAATCGAACCCGCGACCATCGGACGTAAAGCGGTGTGCTAGACCGCTAGACCACCGAGGTCGTCAATAACATTAATACAAAGGAAGGAAACATATTTACAAAGAGAGAAAGTAGGGTTTGACTAAGTTCCACTGTGTATTACGTATGGAATTGTTTTTTATGGTAATTGCGTAAGGTTTTACAACAAAGTATCAGAGTCTGATCTAAATCTGTCTGAAAAAAGATTTATATGTCGTAAATGTAAATGTATGTTGGGACTCCAGTCTCCGCAATTAGCCTCTCATTCGGGCCGTTGTGCGTGCAGAGCCAGACTACTAAAGTAGTCAGCCAAGCTCCTCCCACAAGCGCAGAAGACTGCTGGTGTCTTCACAGACTTCACGGAGCGACCTCACCGTTCCGAGGATTTGTTTTCGTTGTTGGGCCACTGCCGTGCACTCCAGGATTACGTAAGCCGCAGTTTCTTCAGCTTCAAAACAGCCCCGCCAAAGCGGACTGTCTGTAGCATCAATTTTGTATATGTGTTTGTTTAAGGAACAATGGTCCGTTATTGTCCCTATCATTATTTTGAGGTTATGTCTATCTAGATTAAGTAGACGTGTTGTTAATCGATGGTTCGTGTTTGGAATTGCCACTTTAGATTGTTTGCAATCAGTGGTTTTTTTTATATTTAAGTACATTTTTCCACAGACATATTCGTCCGTGCCTTTTTTAATTTACTTTAATATTATTATATTTATTTAATTTCCATTTTTTTCCAGCCGAGATGTTACAATTTTTTGTATTTCGGTGGATTTGGAAGATTAGATTTATCAATATGATTATATATACACTACTACTAAACACAGTTTTCCATTTTGTAAAAAAGCATATTACAAAATAGAAGAGTTCGTTAACGATAATGTTTTTGTAGAAAAAAATTAAATTCATAGCGCTGACAATATTATCTGATTGCACTAAGAATGAGTGCGTAGCGGTTTCTATAAGCAATTGTAGTATTATATAAAATTGCATTATTTCTATAACTTAAGTATAATCGTAAATTAATTGTTAAATAAAAAAAAAACTGTGCCTACATCTAAATATATATAACTCATGACTGACGTAGTGATCTATCAACGCACAGCCCAAACCACTGGACGGATCGGGCTGGAATTTGGCATGCAGGTAGATGTTATGACGTAGGCATCGCTAAGAAAGGATTTTGATTAATTCTACCCCCAAGGGGATAAAATAGGGGATGAAATTTTGTATGACACTTTGTCAATTTTAAACCGATCGGGCTGAGACTTTGCATGCATAAAGCTACTATGACGTAGGCATCCCCTAAGAAAGGATTTTGATAAATTCCACCCCTAATGAGATAAATTGACGCGAGCGAAGCCGCGGGCAAAAGTTAGTTATTTATATAAAAAAAATTATATATATTTTTTTTTGTTAATATTTTAGGATCGACGGAACTTCGTGCGCGCTCCACCCGCAGGTGTGGAGTTCGATTTCGACTACGACAAGATGTATCCGGTAGCAGTCGCGATCATGGCAGAGGACCCCAATCTTGAGAAGATGCGCTTCGATCTTGTGCCAAAAGTGTAAGTATGAACTCACTTTTTTATAACTATATATGAAACTAGCTGTTCCCACGACTTCGTCCGCGTGGAATTTAACTTTATTTTTCTAAAATAAAAGTAGCCTAAGTCCTTATTACATCAGCTACCTGCCAAAAGTCCCGTCATAATCGGACCAACCCTTTTAAAAATTAGCCGGAACAAACAGACACAGACAGACAGACAAAATTTGTAAAAAATGTTATTTTGGTGTATGTATCGTATATATTCATATGCATGTAGTAAAAATCGGTTATTTCAATATCACAAACAGACACTCCAATTTTATTTATATGTATAGATTAAGATTGTGTAATTATGGAGGCTTTGATACGACATACAGACGTACAGTTTCATTTATAATATTAGTAGAGCTTAGTAATTGGTACCAAAACCGCCAACCTGTTAACCATACCAAACCAATTTACATAGATGGTCGCGGGTTCGATTCCTCGCACGATGCAAACATTTGTATTCATGAGTATCATTGTTTATATTGCTCTGTGTATCTTCTATGTTTATATTTAAAAAAGTATTTAAGTATTTATAGAAGTGGAACGGAAGTGTCCCTAACACAAGTTTTGCTTAGCTGCGTTAATGGTTTACGCTACGTTTACATTCAGCTGCGTCCCCTGCCACTCGCGCTGCCGGAAATATTGCCGGGCGACAACTGAGCGAGAGGGCTGAATGTAAAAACACGCTGCCACTCGCGCTGCCAGTCCTTTGACTCGCGCACGAGAAACCGACAATCGAGGGAGCGCCGGGCAGCGCGAGTGGCAGCGTCAATGGCCTGGGAAGTGTTTCGCTGGTCACTTCCCTGCCAACTCGGACTGAGTGTAAATTGGGCACGAAAGGATCGATTGAAATGTGTATGAAGTAATTCATTTTATAGGTAATTATAAAACCATCTTGGTTTTCAGAACCACGTGGAGGTAATCCTGACATGGTACATCGTTAGTATATTGCTAGCGATGGAGTAATTACTTCACATTACTAACAATACCCTCTAGCTTTGGACTAGATGGCGCTGTGTGAATTATCCAGTGTGTAAAAAAAAATATCCAAATTAAAAATATTTTTTTTTCGACGACCTCTGTGGTTTAGCGGTCTAGCATACCGCTTTACGACCGATGGTCGTGGGTTCGATTCCTCGCACGGCACAAACATGAGTTGAGTATGATTGTTTGTATCGGTCTGAGTGTTTTCTATGTATTTACAAAAAAAAAATATTATTATTATTATATATATTAGATTTTCTATTCTATAAATTTAACATTCCATCCTGTCGTTTCCAGCATCACAGAGGAGAACTTCTGGCGGAACTACTTCTACCGCCTGTCGCTGATCTGCCAGGCCAACGAGGCTGACGCGGCGGCCGGCCGTCAGCAGAGCACTGATGACTCCCAGGGTATGATCTCTGTCAATAATCACCCTATATGTAGTCAGCTAGACTCCTGAGAGCAAAGATAGAACGTTTCGTTTAAAACAGTACAAAAAATATTATGATCTGCGTCTTCCTTATCCCATTTATTTGGGGTCGGCGTAAATCGTCTCTTCCATTCATCCCTGTTCGTAATCAGTAAATATATATATACTTATTTAAAATATAAAATTAGATTACAGTCCAGCTTAGTACGCATGTACTAATAAAGAAAAACATATCCCCGTTACAGTATAACAATCAATATGTATATATAGGAACAATGCGTAGGTCCTTATTAGCGTTAAAAATGGTTAAAAATGCATCTTTCGTTATTAACGGTTAATTAACCGCATTTTATGATTGTTACGGTTAAATACGACCGCTAGATCCTGCTAGTGGTTGAATGATAATGGAATTGCACCCGCCTTATTTACGCTGGCGGGCACCAGTGGAGGATGATAAGATAAGCATGAGGTCAGGTCAGTTAGCCCATCGTGACAAATTCACCTAGAATTGATCACGATGGTTTCCAGGGGGAACCGCGTGGAGGTCGACCTAACATGGTACATTGCTAGCAATGGGAGTTAAGTACCCATTGCTAACAATCCCCTTCCCCCCTCCTGTCTAACCATCATCAGGGGCTAGTTGCCTGATGATGGTAGGCTTGTCGACTGGTGGCAAGTGGGCGGTGGCATTTTTAAAAGGTATAAGATAAGAAATTAACAAAAGTACAAAGTTGTCTGTTTAGGTTGCGAACACTGATTTAGATTTTTTGTTTTTATATAGCATATGTATATATTCTCCCAGATTTGAATTTAAATGATATAGTATTATTGTAAATATGTACAACATTAAAAAAAAAAATACAATCTTAGTTTCTTGTCAGTTCTTCTCATCTCGAAATCATTCCGAACTGACGGTAGATTTGACATATCATAAGAGTCTGTAGACCTATATGAATAAAGATATTTTGAAATTGGGTTTTATTTTTTATTTTTCAGTCGAATCCGTTTTTGTAAGTCGGTTATTCCCGGGAAATTTATGTTAAATAACTTTTCTGTATGTACATAGCAGACGGTACTTACTCGTTAGTATTGTAGAATGTGGTGGATTTATATAGATATATATTATGTACACAGGTGCAAATATATTTGACTATATACAAGGTCACGAAGGTTACTGTAATGCCATTGTTACAATCAAACATTTTAACGATACTGAATAACGTAGAAATAAAGAAAAAATAAGAAATAAAGAAATAAAGAAATAAAGAAAATAAAGAAAATAACGTAAATATACAATAACTAAAGAAAACCTTAATTATCAGGAATGGCAGGATGAGTGTCATGTAATGACGTAATGTCCCAAGTGCTGATCATCATTACATAGTTTGAAACAAAGTCGCTGTCGCTGTCTGTCCCTATGTATGCTTAAATCTTTACAACTACGCAACGGATTTTGAATTGTTTTTTTTTTAATAAATAGAATGATACAAGAGGAAGGTTTATATATATAATACATATACACTCGTGTGAAGCCGGGGCGAGTAGGTAGTCATATATATATATACTGGTTACGATGAACGTTTATATATAAAAAAGAAATATTATAAAAAAATCTAACAATAGAAAATAAATAATAACTCTTTATTAGGTACAGGAACAAAATAGTATTTTAAAGTCAAATTTATATATTACAAGCTGTACCCGCGACGTTCGCGTGTAATTTAACTTCATTTTTTTTAAATAAAAGTAGCCTAAATTACTCCTTACTACATCAGCTACGTGCCAATAAAAGTCCTGTCAAAATGGGTCTATCCATTTCAGAGGTTAGCCGGAACAAACAGACACAGTCAGATAAACAAAAAATGTTATGTTACAAATTTTTGTCTGTCTGTCGGTCTGTTTGTTCCGTATCTCTATATTTTCATTTTTTGTCAGGTAGCTGATGTAACAAGGAGTAACTTAGGCTACATTTATTTTAGAAAAATAAAGTTAAATAACCACGCGGACGAAGTCGCGGGAACAGCTAGTAGAGTATATAGTGGGGACGATTATCTCTTAGATTGTAAAAAATGTTATTTTGGTTTTGGTGTATGTACCGTATTTATATTCATATGCATGTAGTAAAAAACGGTTAATTCAATATTACTAACAGACGTTCCAATTTTATTTATATATAGGACATTTTTTCCTCTTAAGCACAGTAAAAAAAATTATGCATATGTAACATCTTACCTCCTTTTCTCACAATGCATGAGTTATTCCCTGAAAAGGGACGAAAGTGTGTAACTTGTACATCCTTCCTAGGGTTTAAAATGTCCTCTGCACGCTCTAGTGTATCGATTTATCTTTGCTCTCAACGTCTCTGTATTTTTATTCAATATTTACATCATCCGCGTCGGTAGGGAAGGACCAGCTGATTCAATTCCATCCGTAGATATGTTATGAAATATATAAACTTCTGTACATGATACAGTTAGCTTCATACACTAGTAGTCAATACAATATCTGTTCCCACCAATAATATAACTCTTAATCTTATCATGTCATTTATGTCTCGACATGTTTCGACACGCTTTTGTTCGTAAAGTAATTTTTTGTTTTTTGATGTTTGCTGGAAAGTAATGTAAACACTTCTGCTTGTCACTATTGTTAAAGATTTAAGTTAAAATGGCAGAGAAACGTAAAATGTGTTCCTTATCGGTCGCAGAAAAGCGAAACATCATTAATTATGTTGACCAAAATCCTATGACGAAAAAATTAGACATAAAATAAGTTCGGGATTCCCGCAAGTACAAAAATACAATTTTAAAATTTAAAGATAAGTTTTCAGAAGAAAGTGGTTTGAATGTAAACAGTAAAAGATTGAAATCATGCACTATTCTTTTACCTCTTTATAACGAGTTTTAGACCAACATAACAAACCTCAGTTCAACGAATTACTTGATATTACGAATATTTTCTTGTTCCCCTCCGATTTGTTATATCAAGGTTGCACTGTATATGCGAATAACACATTGGCTATAATCTAAAAATATATTATGGGAGAAAAGAAAATTGCAGATAAAGTTGCGCCGTACAACTAGTTACCATAGCCATAATCCTAAACAACGTATGTACAAGGTAGATTGACATATGCGTAAGTTGGCAATTAAATTTGAATATCCTTCAATTCTTGTCCCTGACTAAGTAGTGAACTCTAAAAAGGGCGAGCACAATAGATCTATGTAGGTCGCAGTGCTACAGGTCCAAGCACCTGATAATAGCCCAAACCACCAATAACAATAAAAAAGTTGGCAAGGAAGATTTTGAGATAAAAAATTGTCTACGTGGATACCACAGTCTCACTTATTTCAGTCCCCAAGCAGCTTGTTTGTAATCTGCTTTTCGGGTTACGGATAAGGATAAGGAAAATTACAGGATAAGAGGCATGATATCTTACTCAGGGGCGGATCGTGAATTTGTGGGGCCCTGGGCTAAGTCTACTTAGGGGCTTACCTAATTATATTACTCAACTGAAAGAATACACTGACCAAAAACAAGCGACCAGAGATTCCCCGTTCCTTTCGATGATTGAACTCAGGGTTGCCAACCTTATTATAGGTTTTTTAATATTCTAAATATCATTTCAGTGAGGACTGGGGTCTTTTGTATCCTCGGGGCCTTGGGCTGCAGCCCAAAAAGCCCTTAGGTAGATCCGCCCCTGATTTTATACCTCTAGAATGAGAATGCGTTAGCGGTATCACGCGCGTTACATGATAACGTGATATCCGTGATACTGTTCATGTATAGAGGATGACTATCACTTACCATCAGGTCAACTTGATTATTATACAAGGTTTATAATGTTAGAATCACTAGTTATGATGACTGCCGGCTACCAGAAGATAAACCCTAAGTAGCGCCCGTTACTTGTGACACGGGTGTAGGTTTAAAAGGGCCTTTTGGAATGCATTAACACTTGGGCCTGGGGGAAAGCTGCAAGAAGTGAAGGTGCACTTCTTGCAGCTTTCCCCCAGGCCCAACTAAATCCGGGATAAACCCGTTTCTAATATAATTCACTTTAGTGTCCAAAATACAACCGGCTCGTTCTGTGCTCGTCGATCGAATGCCGTGGTTTATAAAGACGACCTCCTGTACACAGCTATGCGTGGGGATTATACGCGACTAGCTTAACATCGATTAATAAAGAAACTACCTTCTTTTAATATTTTTAAAATGTAGGATTTTTCTACAATATCGATTTGAACCCTAACAATAAGCTACATCATGTTTGTTGATTTACGTGTACTTTGGTAATCCCTCTACTTTGTTAAGACTCTACCTACAGATATTTATATTAATTCGAGACGTTCATTACCAATATATATATGAAGCTGACTGTATTATTGTACTGAAAAATATAAGATTGCTACCATAGACGACACGAGTCGCGGGTTCGATTCCTCGCACATCACAAACATTTGTATTCATGAGTACGATTGTTTGTATCAGTCTGGGTGTTTTGTACGTATAATATGTATGTATTTACGAAAAAAATATCTATGTATTTGTATCAGTTATCTAGTACCCATAACACAAGCTTTAGCTAGCTTAACTTGGGTCTAGATGGCGCTGTGTGAATTGTTCTGAGATTATTATTACTATAGAATGTGTTCTATGTCGGCGCACATGAAATCATTGTAATAATAGCTTATAACCTTGTAATATACCATTACTGGATTTAATGTCGAATTACGCTCCTGCATTATTTCTCCCCAATCATTTTATTATATTTTTCCTTTTTTTTTTTGTTAAGTTTACTTTTGTTTCGAAACTCAATCAGATGACGATAAATCGGGAAACGAGGATCTCGTACCCAAAGGGGAACAGTCCCAGGAAACCATTGATGACGTGAAGAAGCGAATAAAGTCATTAAAAGTGGATAGAGAAAATGACGACGGTAAGGAATTAACATAAATATTTAACAATTAACTATTTATGTTAAATGAAATGTTAAAATTGGGCATTGGATATTGGCACCTTAGTATTTCATAAATGAAGGTCATATGACCGACTTAGTTACGAAACGTCATATATCTAATAAATCTATTTCAAAAATTGAAGCGTTTTGTCTTTTCCTTATAAACTATTTTTTAATCGACGCAAAAAGATGAGTCTCATGTTTAACGTGGCTATATCTGTTACATCCTAACTTCTAAAGTGGTGAATCTACATATTTTTTTTAAAGTTGATCTGATCAAAATATCTCTTATCTATATTTGTTTGCAACATATTTTTTCTATAATAATTGTATAAAATCGCGGTTCTGGAAATCAGCGTCTTGTCCTTATTATTAAATAAAATACAATTATGAGGTTACAACCGTATATTAGTTTAAACTCATAAATAAAAAATATCTTTATTACTTATAACAAAGACATCTTAATAGCGCGTTGTAGAAATTTATACAAAAAAAATACAGCGCCATCTAGTTGTACTGTGAAACAATATTGAAAAGAACAATAATGTATGATATGTTCTGTCCTTTGAAGACTATCAACTAATTTTCTATTTCACAAAGGAATGTCGTAAATTATTTATATTGTTTTACTTTTCATTTCAATGTAATTTTCTTCGTTACAAAGAAAGTGACAAAATGCTCCAATAGCTAAAATAGATTTTCAGATTCTAATTTTTTTTAATAAGGCGGTAACTCTATCAAAGTAACACGTAGGTATGATTATTTTAAGTTAAACCTTATCTTTATTTAAACACATAGCCATATTATTTCGTTTTATTTCTTATACGCTTTTTTCCCACACAATATGTATAAAAGCATAAATGTTCACACACGCTAGTATTTTCATCACAAATATATAACCAACTTTGAGGAATATGAGTTATATTTTGCATGCTCTTTATTTATATAAATTAAGAAATTTATATGAAGATGTCCGTGATTCCTTCATATCAAAAGGATATTTATTTTATACTTGTTATCTGTTCTGTTTCATGATTGGAATTGAATTATGTTGCAATTGTAATATTGTAATATATTTATCAAATATCTGACGATTATTAAGTTATTACTAATATTGCTAAACGTAAATATTTTCCTCCTGGAATGCAGCTTAAGCAAGACGCACGGACTACCGAGGGCTACTACTCACCCTATGATAACACCATGGTTTACACACCTATAGACCATCCACATTTTGTAATCTTAAAACAATTCTAGTGATACATGAAGAAAACGTACACCGTTTAGCGGTTTCATCTCGATAGCACACTTGTAGCAATAGAAACAATTGTTCAAGATTATAAAATACGATATTGCGAAACGTGGATAGTATATAGCATTATGATATTATATTTATTCGATACAAAGCTTGCGTTGGGCAATGTATTACGCTATTTAAGGGCTCTTAAGCGATATATTTGGTTGATGGGATAATGTCGTCAATGTTCGATATGAGTAAAGCGTATACACATATTTAAATCTTTGGTTTTGTATCCATTTCAATGGGATTTAAATAGAAAATATGGCTTAAAAATTGTTCATTTAATATATTATGGTTTATATTTGTACTGTATTGTCGATATATGTTATAAATATTACTTATTATGGTAGTCCTGAGGTGTATTTTTTATCTGGATGATTTATAATTTTTGGATATGCGTGTACGTTGATGACATTATTTGATCAAACAACATCACCGTATCACTGTTATCCTCCACACACCATATAGTTTCGACCGTTACAATTATATATAAAAAGTTTATTGCTGTTCCGTATTTGTTTTATTTGAATATAAAAGTTTATAATCTATTATATATCACTATATCATATCTTCATCCTTGTTGTTATATCGTGTGTCGTATATATAAATAAATTGAATGTTATGACAATATAGCTTCTTTATCCCGAAATGGAAGTATATAATATGAATTGTATATATTGCCTCTTTGTTTGACCTGATAATAAATTATCGGTCTGTAATTCAATAGCATTTATATGTCTTATCATAACTGAGACAAGTATTCTTTGTCTCCATATTCAAGTATTAGATCTTACGATATTAATATCACACGCTATTGAAGAATAGTCCACTAAGGTTGAACTGTATACTTATCTTTGATCAATTTTTCTCAATGGAACCTATTTTAATGTCTACTGAATGTTATATAAATGTCTAAGTATTAATTAAGATTATATAGCTATAACGTCACACAGTTCATTACAATTCGGCTCAGTAGTTTAAATATAAGTATCTATTGTTCAGGTTTTAACATTGCTACTACGATTTCGAACTTCTCTCCTTCCGCTTTGAATCTTGTCTTGTTTGCTTACAGCGTCTGTGTGTTTACGTTAACCTCTTAGCTTGCATATTTCTCAAAGTTGGTCATTATTATCTAAAGCATTTTCTTCGTACTGTCTCTGCATCGATTCCGTTGCGTAGCAATGTTGAAACTTATCTTTTGTACATAAACGTGTTGTCAGGTTTTCTGAAGGCCTTCCTTGAAGGAATTTTTAATGGTCCTCCCATATTGTCTGGAATGTAACACTTTCCAATAATGAATAGCCGCGACATATCACTTATGGGTGTCAGTCAATTATAGACAACTGCCGTCTGGTAAACTCAGGGAAAATTTGGAATATTTACGCTGACAACACTGACTTCCCGTTTCTTTTGTAATTATTTACAATTAGATTAGAGAGTTAATATTATATTCTGGGTAAAATAATCCAATGTTATAAAGTTGTGTAGACTTATAGTTGGTAATGACGTAAACACATTTTTAAAACGATATAATATTTGGGAGAGTTGAAACGACAAGTGATATCAAACTGGCCTAGCACCCTGTCGCTCGACATAAGTTCACAAGTGTTTTGTTGAATATATATAGCTTGAACAGTAACGCAGCAATAATTGGACGTGTGATTGTTTCTGGCTGAATGAAGCCTCACATACTGTTTGTGTCTATGATATCGTATAGAACGAATATGTAACGATGTGTCTTGTTGATTTTAAACTAAATAATTTGGCTATAGTGTGTCCTAATCTACTGGCTTTTACTGCATCGCATGTATTTCAAAGACCATACAAATTTTTATCATCCGTACTGTTTTCAACCTTCAGAAACAGTCTAATGAGAACGGTACAGCGTTATTTAGTTTCTAATTGTGCGCGTCCAGCGTCCTACATCATAATTGTATCACTTTCATTATTAACACTTGGAACATTGTTTAGCGAATTACAACGTATGGTTATTAAATGAATTGGCATTTATAGTTAGTTATTATGAATTGAAATAATTATATTATTCTAAAATAACATTTGCGTTGTTATTTCACTAGTATTTAGAAGACCTATTATTTTATTTACATGATTGACTAGCAATTTTATAACAATCTTTAAAAATAGGACATTAAATTGTTCACGTAAGTTTAGATTGTTGTTATTCTGTATTGTTACCTGGTTAATAATGTGAGAACAAACATCACTCGTTCTCATAATTAAAGTCTATCAAATATGATCACATGTAAACACTTGCTGTAATTTCAAACTATATATAAATTAAATACTAAATTTCCACAGCATGCTATACCAATATCGATCAAGAAGAATCATTTTGTATCTTATTGTACGGAACTAAATATTATTATTCATGCATTAGCTGGTCTAGAATTAATAATAAAGAACGCAGCGACCAACAACAGCTTACTAACACTATCGCATCCATTAGTTATGGTACAAATGAGGAAAGAAAAAAGAGTGTTAAAAAAAAGGATTTATTTTACAATAAGATCACTTACAGGTTACAATTGGGTACCTAATTATTGAGTATCAACTTCAATCAGATTAACAATATTAATAATGTATATTAAACACGAAAATTAAAAAATAATTTTGTTTTCTAAACAAACATTTACAGAACAATGGGAGAAAGAATTGGAGGCAGAACTTAAGGAATACGAAGTGGTTGCAGAGAAGACAGGTGATGACAAATGGGAGAAGGAGTGTGAAGATCTATTGGGGGAGGACGTTGACCTCAAATAGACAAGCGTAAAACCGTTTTGAATCTATAAGTTTAAAATATAGGTTACCCAAACGGAGGTATGTCATAAATATTGTCTATGCTCTGGCTTACAGTAAGAGAATCCGTTCAATCTATTAGATATTGTAATACTATAGGTTAGAATCCATTTTGCCATTGCTGGATACAAAACTCCCAGTAATATTGAGAATAATCCATCTCTATAGTAGCAATCTTTATGCCACAGGAATTTCGTGGTTTTTTTAGGTCTCCTTCCATCCCTATCATAGCTGGTCCCATTACTAGTACGTTCCTAGTTTGAACGTTACAGTTTTCAATTATGTTTTTTTTTTTATTTTTTTTTAAAGAGTTGGTTCAATGGATCAAATTTCGTGTTTCAATACTTAGTTTGTAATGGACTTTGTAATATGACATCACCGTATTTAAAACCCCTCCCAAACCTAACCCAAGAAGAATTACATAAGGGGCCGTTCAAGTATTACGTAAGCACCATAGGGGGACGGGGGGGTCTTTACTTTGCTTATTTTTGATGACATGGGGGTAGGGGGGTGTAGATGATGATTACGTCATCGCTAGTATTTATTTTTTACACGAATGGCAACCGTCACATAGTCTTTGCTAAAAAAACAATACATTAATTGAAAAATATTTACGTAATCGTCGGTTACTTTTGCTGACAAAGGTGGTGGGGTAAATAATTGTAATATATCTGCTTACGTAATACTTGAACGGCTCCTAACAATTATTCTTTCAAATTATTACTGGGTAATAAGTGTATGGATTAGTTGCGAACCAAAAGCTACGAGGACCCTGAATAAATAAAAGGGTTATATACCTTCTTTATATATAAAAATTACGTATCACGTTCTTTGTCCGCGATGGACTCCTAAATTACTGAATGCATTGCAAATTCAATCTGCACATTGTGCGTAATTTGATCCAACTTGAAAGATAGGATAGCTTACATCTCAATTTATAGTCGCAATATTATTTTATTCAAGAACCTTAGCTACAGCAACGCGTGGCCGGGTCGGATTATATATTTATCCCTGCATTATAAACAAACAGTGTTTTAACGCTATTTTATAAATATTTACAAGCACATAGCAATAATTCAGATGAGTAGGTCACATAATATTTGTAGACTCCATAAAAAGATTTTATAAAATGTTTGTGTCACAACTGTGCCCATCGGACTGTAAGGCAGCCGCTAGACTACGTCGTGGATACAAATAATCGCCAAACGAGGCTCATTTTGATTCTTGTTCTTATGAATATTATATATTTGTTAGTGTTCAGAATATGATTTTATTCTTATGAGAATATAAATAATATGTATTTTTATGTAATTTTAAATGATAATAATTTTAATTTTAATATAAACTGATTTATCGAATGGTATGTACAAAGTCAATACTTTGTTAAAAGCCTCTGCGTGGGTATCTCAGTCTTAATGATATTTTATTCAGCATAGCATATATACACATTTTAAAATCACTAGTATCCTGACGACTTAGGCGTAATGCCGGTTAGTCAGGAGAGAAACACCTCAATGCCTACAATATTCACAATTATCTATCTCTTATTTGTTTTTATAATAATATCAACACTTTCGCTCCAAAACTCCCGCTGCCTCCGTTCAATCGTCCGTCATCCACTTGTCAATGTCACATAGATTACTTTGGCTCTGGCCTCTGACGTTCCGTTTCAGGTTACATGATTATTGACTTTACCATTTTTAATTAATGGTGCGTCACACGATAGTTAACAGTCGGCCATCCTGCAATAGTGTCTGGCCCAGACACATAGGTAACTGATGAGCGTAGTCATGCTTATCAAAGGATATAGTGTCTACAGGATCATATAACAAATACTTAACTAAATAAACTAAAGATACACATTACTTTCATAACATTGACTATATTAGTAGACTGTCAAAGGTTTACAATCTAAAATCAATACTAACAGAGCTAAGTTTCGGCATGCATTCAGAATGCACAAAATATAACATAACATATATTAATTTACATAATACAAATCACCCAAAAACATGAACAACCTTTTAGAGTAACAAACAATTATTTGGCGGTGATTGACTTCTATGAGTCAGACTGTAACATATCACCATCACAATGTAAGTTTCCGATCTTATGAACATTGCATTTTTTTTTTATACCTCCAAAATAGAACTTGACATTTCTCATCATGAATATTTTAACGGATAAATTTAACATATCACATTACAAAAGGTAAAACTTAATTACCTACATATATAGAGAAAAAAATATAAAGAGAAAGTAATATTCTCGTGACATAAAATTAGAACAAAATCGCTGCCTGCCTTCACCTCACCAATAGAAAATAACAGGTCAATATTATTCAAGTGGTTCTAATACCCTCAATACTACTACTACTATTTT